CAGTTCTCGCTTCCAAGTCAACTTTTGCCCACCTCGAGCCTTGCACCGCCCTACATCTAATAGACAAAACAAAACCCTCCTCGGTAAGCGGTGACGGGGCATACGGAGTGCGTGCCTCAGCCAACACAACTCATTCAGTGCTATCTGTTGTTCTAAGGGATTCGCATGATTATCACTGCCTAGTACTCGCCTATGCACATCATGGTTGCCGACACGCTGGTGCCATCTGACATCAGCAATGCTCCGAAGACAACGATTAGCAAAGACTTAAGGCACCGCAGGTTCTCAGATCGGAGGGACCAAGTCTCACTCCCCTAGTGAAGGATGACCTTGTAAATACGGTGTTTCAACCGGATGGAAGCCACGTTCTGTCGCCAAAGATGTCGCAGATTCAAGAAGGCACTTCTGGCTTTTGTAATACATGAGCTGACTTCAGTTGCTATGCGCCCATCGTTGCTGATGCAGCTGCCTAGTTAAGCTACTTGGCCAACTTAATGGAATTCGTCGCTATCAAGGGGCAAGTGGTCATCAACTGGTTGGTGGTACTGCAGCAGCACTTTACACTTTAAAGGTGCGAAACGCATACTAAATAATGGGACCACACTAGAGAGGTCATTCAGCGTTGATTGTGACGCCACAACATCGCTAAACTGCAAGATGACATCGTCAGCACAATCAAAATCAACTAGCCATCCACCAGGCAGTACCTCAAATCTGCATTGTGAGGATCCGTAAGAGAACACTCCACAATGGAGTTCACGACGAATTCGAACAAAAATGGGGAAATTAGACAACCCTGACGCAAGCCACTTGTTGTCGAATAGCTATCCGACAGGTCATCATAGACCCTGTCTCGACTTGTCATGTTCGAGAACAAAGCAAGTAAAATGTTCACATCTATCATGGGAGCAATTTTCCGCACAAGTATTTCGACAAGAATGCATCGCTCGACGGAATCGAACGCATTCTTGAAATAAAGGAACACAGCTAATATCAGTCTGCAGTATGCGAGGCGCTGCTCTACCGCCTGTCGGAGAGTGAGTACGTGGTCTATACAGCACATCCAGGACGCAAACCTGTCTGCTATCCTTTACTACGGGATTCCCATTCCGCAGTGACGCAATGAACGAGAATTGAGGCCAGTAAGTTTGTCACAACTGCCGATAAGCTAATATCTATGCGGTTAGCACAGTCAGTGCGACTGCCCTTCTTGTATATTGCCACTATACGTGATTCATGCCAGCTAGTCGGGATGGTCTGCACCGAAACATATTCGAACAGTAAGCTCAGTGCTTTGCAAAGGGTCTCACCTGCACCAATAATTAATGCAGGTGGAAGGGAATCCGGCCCAGCAGCACGAAAACTGTTGAGAGATGGGATCCCCTTTCGGACCTCTACCTCCGATGGAACCACTCAACTAAACCTTCATGGCTCATCCCACATGACCTGAGTAAAAGGAGGCCCGGAAGCAGAGGGCCAGCTGACATGATCTTGAAAGCGCTCTGCCTAACGGGTTACATGGTGCTCCTTATTGCGAATCAGTGCACCCGCTCTGCCTCTGATTGTTTCGCTGACGCCTGGTTTCCTGGGACCGGTGTCGCGGATCAGCTGGAAGAGCTTGTGCTAGTTCCATACTGAGCCCGCCTCCTGCATTTCTTGAGCCCGCTTGATCCAACAGGCTTCCTTGTCAGCGCAAAGATCCGCCTTATTTCACGTCTAATAGTCCATCTGGTCACATTGTGCTCAGAGCTGTCCAGGAGGTTGCTTCTGGATTCCAACAGGTTTAGCGACCTCTCGGATATCCAGTGACTAATGCGGTGACGATTTATAATATTACAAGCAGATGCACCTGCCTCGTGCATGGCCACAGAAATCCTCTTCTACTGGAGCTCAGTGTCATTAGGATAAGGGTGCAAAGTTCGGTGCACAGTGAATCTTGGTAGGCTTGCTTGACCAAGGCCTGGGATAATTTCTCAGTTGCCAACCGGGGGAGACTCTTGGTGCGACTCCTGGTAAGGCGCGTGGTAAAACTACGGCGTACTAGCAATGGAACAATGGTTATATCCGAGTAGAAAATCTAAAGCTTAGCAGGTCCCGTAGCGTGGTCATGGTGAAAGTTCAGAATATAGAAGAATTGCCAGCAGATTTAGGTTTACATTGCCGGACTTACTACAATATGCCCAGTATAGGCCGGAGTGCCTATGGTGCGCTGAGACTTGTGGTGGGTAGATCCTGACAGATGATCGACCCATTGCTGCTACTGTTGCGCCACTGGATCATGTCTTGAATGCCTCCTCGTGGCGACCGCTGGGTGGGAGTTGGGTTTCGCCCTTCTCCCGGCTTAGATCCAGGACACCAATCCGCATGAGTCAGTGAACTGACCTTGTGCTAGACCCGCTGCCTTTCGGGTGTACATTTGATCGAAGGCCTTGGCTGAGGACCCGAGTCGTTCTCCTGTCAGGTGTGGGTGCCTCATGAGTCTCCTAGTCCATCCTCTTCGGAGGTTAGGAAGTGGTCGATGGCCCTCTTCCCGTAAAACCTAGCCATGGGAGACAACAGGTCTACGGGTTATAAGCGCACAGTTGGATTGGCGTAGAGCACGAGCGCCACGCATTGTCCCTGACGGTGAGAGGGCTCCTCCGGGTGTTCAGTGGTTTGCTACTGTCCGCCTCAAGCCAGGCAGCCCTTGGTCAAATTGGTGCAAACCCGCCAAAACCCACCGGCGTCTGGCCGTAGTCGCAGGT